CTTTAACTACTCATGCAAAAGTTATAAAGATAAGCGGTTGCTCATCAGAGATATTTGGGAATAAAATACCCTAATTTTACGTCTTACTCAAAACTTGGAAATGATGACCCAACTTAAGGGGGCTAAGAGGGAGGAAATCGAATCGGCGACTTTAAACAGTTTATTGTGCTTAAATTCTTATGATGTCAGATTATCTCTCAGTGCATTTAAGTTCCAGGTGGCTTTTCTGTTTGTTGCACTGGCATCGTTAAGTTAGCTAATTAATTATGCATCAACGGGCAAAATGGCGATTTTTACAGGGGGATCCCGGATCTCCCAGGGAATTTAATATTTTGACCTGACATTCTGTCACATAAGCTAACTCCTGATACCTAACATCTGTGCCAAGTTTGAGCGAAATCGGTGATTTGAGTATTATCACCCCCTGCCTGGTTCTGCCTGGTTTTCTCATGGACACACTCTTAAAATGTTTGGGGCACTTTGTCTTTCATGTAAGAAAAATGCAATTAAGTTAATCCCCCTTCCCTCTGAGGGGAGGGGTGTGGGGAAGAAACCTTCATAAGTCTTTGTTTATGACTGTCTATTGCCGGTTAGCTGCAAACTCCATAAAAAAACACGTGAAATAGGTAAGTTTCCCAAAACCTTTTGGCCAGAATTGTAGCAGGCAAATCTTTTGTATCTTTTGCCAGAAATGCTCTAGGTTGATTAACAGAGAGGCAGACTGTAGACTGTAGTCCATTTTAGGGATCAGGCGCTTGATGTAATCAAGAAAAGGGTGACACGACCGGCTCATATTGCGTTTTGGACCACTAGCTTTCCTTCACCTACCCAAAAAGAGTTCCGCAGGAAACTGGCACTGTTTGCTCTGTTTTTTTGTTGTTGTTGTTTTTCATTGTAGTTGTTGGTTTTCCTCATCAACGAGTTTCCACTGCATATTCACTTGCACTATGTTTCATCTAGGTTGGCAGACATGAGGGGGTCGTATCGTAGCGAAGTGAAACAACGAAAAAATTACACGCCGTGCACGTGTCAATAGGGAGCTTACGAATCGATGACTTCTTTCTCGACGACGACTTTAGGTGACGTCATCGACTTTGTCGTCGCCGTTTGCCATTGCGCGCCAAATTTAGCTTACGAGTTGCGGACGTCGACGCGGAGATTTCCCGCCAAATTTAAGTCGCAGACTGACTTTTTTTTTATTTAGAATAATAGTTTTATCAACGTGTTGATTAAAATGCCGAACTTCAGAGAGAACAGAGAGTGTATCGCATATGCCCACAGAAAAGGATTTATCAACGACAGGCAGTTTCTTTTCCTGTATGATGCCAATACTTCAAAAAACCGTGACTTTCCATATTGGAAGTATGATCGATTCGATTTAGACGAGCTTGGAAATGACCAGTGCAAAGCTGAATTCCGATTTTACAAAAATGACATTTTCAAGCTTGCTGAATATCTTCAGTTACCAGATGAGANTTGGAAATGACCAGTGCAAAGCTGAATTCCGATTTTACAAAAATGACATTTTCAAGCTTGCTGAATATCTTCAGTTACCAGATGAGATTGTTACTTACAACGGCCCAGTAGTCGGATCGATTCCTGCTTTATGTATCTATCTAAAGCGCTTTACGTATCCTTGCCGTTACGGGGACATGGTTTCTCACTTTGCTAGACCTGTTCCGGAGCTTTGCATTATTACAAACCACATGATTGACTGGATCTATAACCGATGGCATCACTTACTCTCAAGGTATAATCATGACCTGCTTTCCCCGGCAAATCTTATGTTGTATGCTGATGCTATATATCGATCAGGCGCAGCTTTGCAAAACTGCTGGGGGTTTATTGATGGAACAGTGCGGCCAGTGTGTAGGCCAGGAGAAAACCAGAGAGCCATTTACAATGGCCATAAAAGATTACATTCCGTAAAATTCCAATCAGTAGCGTTACCTAATGGGCTGGTTGGTCATTTATATGGTTTAGGAGAAGGAAGACGTCACGACAGTGGTATGCTGGCCTCGTCTGGACTTTTACAAGACCTGCAAAGATTTTCTAAATCACCAGTTACTGGTTTACCTATCTGTGTGTACGGCGACCCTGCATACCCTCTTAGAGCACACTTACAGGGACCTTACAAGGGAGCAGTGTTGACACTACATCAACGAGAATTCAACAAATCTATGAGCAGTGCCTGTGTTTCAGTTGAATGGGTTTTTAATGATATAATCAACTGTTTCAAATTTTTGGATTTTAAAAAGAACCTTAAAGTTGGTTTAAGTGCTGTGAGTAAAATGTACATAGTTTGTGCCTTGATGCATAACGCCCACACTATTTTTTATGGTGCTGTTACCTCAAAGTACTTTGGCATCAATCCACCAGCTTTAGATGACTATTTTATTTAATTATTAGCAACGATAAAACGTTAAAGGAATTACACAGACATACACCAGGATACATCCTCAAAATAAACGTTTCATGATTCATCAAATTTTGGACATTAGGAAGCATTGATGAATAACGGCTGTGTAAAAATTCCAGTAGAGATGGTAAAAAAAATTCTTCTCATTATCAAAAGCAAGCTTGCACAATTTTTGTAATACTCGTTGGAAGCTTTGTATGTATAATAAAAACAACCAAAAATGAATTCAATGTCCCTTTTTCAAGAGTTCAAGTAGTGCTTGGCTTTGCTGTTGTTGTTGCTGCATAAACATTTGACACATCATCTGGAACTGCTGTTGTTGATTTTTCAACTGGTCTTGAAATTGCCTGGACATTTCTTGCTGTTGTTAAAAAATCAGGTTTTGTTGTGCCAATACCCTTTCTTCTTGTTTCTTTCTAAACTCTAGTTCTTCCTTCTTCAAGTCACATTCCTTCTCCGTTGCTTCTCTTAAATGGTCCATCGTTTCGTTTGGTGTATGTTTTCTTTTTTTCCGCGGTTGATCATCTTCTGCTCTTTTCTTTGTCTCACCAAGACGTTCCATGGCTTTGTTTCGCATTTCTTCGGCGGAAGCTTTATCTTTAGCTGTTTTATCGGAAATTTTCTGCGATTCTCTTTCTTGTTTATCTCTTCTCTCGAGGTAATCCTTCATTATTATATCGATTTCTGATTTATCTTTCTCTGGCGAAATTCCAGATGTATTTCGCTCGAATCGATCCTTCCTCTTAAAGTCGCTTTCCAGCATCTTTAGTCTGTCTCTGATCGACTTTTGTGACACATTGAAGAATGGCTCTTGTAACTGATTCAGGCTTTCAGCAATTCGGTCTAGGCAATTTCCTCTTTCACGACTTCCTAATTTGTAATTCCACAGTTCGAACAGCATAACCTCTTTTCCCAACAAGACATCGTGTTCTTTTGTCCATTTCACCGAGTTCCTGAAATAGCAGTCGATATCTAATCGAAGACAGTATATTTTAAAGGACTGAAATATCAAACTTAGACACGAATTTTCAATTGACAAAATTTTTCAGTATATCTGACTGAATCCTCGCATCGCTTGTGCTGCATCTTCTGACCACTCGAGAGCGTTGAAAGAACATTTGTTCACTATTCAAAACTGATTTATAGCCAATGAATGGATAAAAACTTAGAACCTTTGAGTTCTTTTACTGTTTATCTCTCTTGGGATCTGAATTGACCTTAAAACGCCAATTTTTCTTTTTATTTATTCCCTTACCGAGCGTTTGAAGGACTTGGGTCATTCTTTTCGCAGGTTGACATCTTGGCCTATTCGATAAATAAGAACTATGGCGTGAATAACATTCAATGAAGTAAAAAGCTGTTTCAGGATAGCTCCTGTTAGCATATTTGGAACGTATTTGCGGATTAAGTGTTAGATTCAGCAAATATTCCGAACAAAACGTACCTTTCGACGCGTTGCTACGAAGACGACTTCAAAACCGCTCTTCTGAAGTCGTCGCCTCCTTCAAGAAGACGCGCGAAATAATGCCACATCCGGTAGCGCATGCGCATAAACTACTTCTATTGTTGAGACGTCGTCGTCCTCTGGGAAGTCATCGATTCGTAAGCTCCCTATTTATCCAGGACCTGTAGGCAGGACACAATCCACAAACAAGCTGGAATATTCTTGTTGTTTTAGTTTATGCCAGTGGCAAACAAGAATTTTGAGCCTTGCTTCTCATCGCCTGAGCCATTGATCCAATGAATGGCAAGGCTCAGAATTCATATACCCCATTTCTATTGGGTCATGTTTTCATTTGGGGGCTCATAGAGACCTTACAATATTTTGCACCCTTGACACGCCCCCTTGTCGCCTTCGTCACGTGCACAAATTTGCCCCAAGTCTACTTCGCACGAATCAGTAACTCTTTGTGAAAGTAACCTGTGACTTGTGAATATGGATTATTCAGCCAGTTACACAGGCGACTCGAAAGAATGTGCGACCATCTGTTTACTAGTCCAGGTGCGCCACCTCTTGCGTTTCATTAGCTCCTTAAAAGTGCTCTTGATTTCTTAGGTACGGCTTTCCAAGCAGGGAGTCGGTGGAACACTTTATGTAGATGACATATACGTGACTTCAGGCCAATTGTATCGCCAATTATTCCAGATATACCCACTTGAGAGGCTCTTCCTAGGAGGAGTTCCCAAAGATTTTTATGCCAAACGAGTTCCGGTTAGTAAATTTGCAGCTTCTTCTTCTTCGGAGTGTCAGGACATAAGCATCGTCAAATTAAACATATTGGCCTTAACAAAGCCGTCATTTCGCGAGCTAAATTCACGGAAACACTAAAAAATTTATTGATGTCAAAATAGTCTGAAATTATACTCAACAAATCATCCTATCCGGTGTGCTGTAGCACTGGGCACATCGCGACATGCTGTCAAATGAAGGCTTTTTTTACCTTCAAGAACGAAAGGTTTATAACTCAAATAACAAATGGTAGTGAAGTGTCCGCATTGGCGAGGTTGACTTTAGATGAGAATCTGCTGACTGGGGAAGAAAGAAGTGACCGTTGTCCTCATTATCGGGTGTCCGTATTAAGCGGGTTAAATTTAGAGAAAATGTATGGGCCTTCCTTAAGGATAAAGACAACTGTCTGACGAACTATCCGTATTAATCGGGTGTCCGTAATGCGCGGTTTGACGGTAGTGATAAATATAACTAAATTTCGTTTCAATCGTTTACCGACGCAGCACAACACTTGTTAAGAAACTAACCCCTCATATCACTGTAGGTGGCGTCACAAAACAGTTTCCCAGGATGCATCGCGAACTTGACAGTAAATAAAAAGAACATTGACACTCCACCTAGTAAGTTTAATACGCAGAGCTGTTACCGCGACAGCCCTGAATCGGGAGTCAGCTTTAAAAATGGAGGAGGCTACCTTAAAGTCGGTGAGTTAACTTCAGCTTTTTGATGGTCTGTAAGGATTTCTCTGAATTTATTAAAACTGCTGAAAAGAATGCTTTAAGTGGTAGACTTGGGAAGTGTGAGAGTGATCTGTCAGAGACAGGCGAAAATACACGTGGGGCGTGAGAATTATCTGTAATTATCTTAAAGAACTAAACACATACCAATTCCACAAACATTTGAAACCTTATTTGCTGTCAGATCAACATACTTAACATAACTTAAGCACATACTCTTTCTTTCTTAATACATTGTATTTTAAAACTGCTTCTTTGGAAATAAATTCTATCTCAATTCTCTAAAACTTTAAATTCTGGAGAACTGGCTAGAAAATCTTAGGATTTTTTCAGCTCCAGGCCTTATTAAGTACAAATAAATATATACATATTTTTCTCTCTTTAATGTATGTAGTTAAGTACAGGGCGAATAAAGGTATTGTTGTTGTTGTTTGTTTTGTTGTTGTTGTAAAATATGGCGACTTTGCGGAAGCGTACTGTTTCATAATTTTCAATAGATCACTCCGAACTTGGCAACGTCACTTATCTTAAGGCGTTTCTTCAATGGTGTCGATTGTTTTCGCAAACTGAAAATGTCGTTGAACGTAATCAAAGACCTTAATGACTGCCCCGTATAAGCTCTGGTCTTATACATCTCTGTAATGGGTTTTAAGAGGGCCTATAACTGAGAGGTTTACATCCGAGGGAGCTTATGTTTGTGATACACCGGAATAGAAAAGCGCTTCGAAACAAGTAGCCTCCCAAGCAGGCGTTTTTAGGGGAGCTCGTATCTCTTCCTCCCCGCAAACGCCTGCCCAATAACAACATTCCTTTCCCTTTGTTTTTTTTCGCGTTGTAAGTGACCAATCAAAAGTTTTGAAATAAAGTGCTGACCGGCTAAACACGACTCATAAGCTCGTGGTAGTGTAAAAACGTGACCCTAGAGTTACCTTTTTCCTTCTTTTCTTTCCTTCGCTAAAGTTGTGCAGTGCACGGAGTATTCTAAAATCTGACTAAATCTCACTTTTGCCGCTCTGAGTCCTATAACATTTATTAGAGGTAATAAAGCTTTCCCAGTGTTTCATGGAGGTCAAGCAATTATTGGGTTACCCTGCGGTCCAGGTCAACCTTCCAGAATTTGGTAGGTACGACGTGATTGGCTAAGTTTAGGAAATGAATGTTGTTCTCGGTTGAGCAGGCGCTTTTGGGGAGGGACGAGATACGAGCTCCCCTAGAAACGCTTGCTTGGGAGGCTAAGAAACAAGCTAAGCAAAAATATAATATGCAGTATTTCTCGATTTCTTTTTGCTGGAGTTGGCACTTTGTTCCTTTATTATAAATGACGTTTTTGTACTTTTTATGTCAGCCGATCAATACCAGGTTGGAGAAAAAGAGGAAATCTCACTTGAAATCAAACCGACAACACACACAGGACTTCTATTGTCGGCTTGGGGGCATGGAGAGAGCCCAGACTACATTGTTCTGGAGATGTCCAGTGGAAACGTGAGTTCTAAACTTCTCTGTCGCTGTAATGCCGTTCAACTTGGACTGGTCCAGTGAAGTCCAGTAAAGTTAATAGAATAAATAAATAAATAAATGGATTAATAATAATAATAATAATAATTAAAAATAATAATAATAATAATAAATTCCTTTGTTATTCATTCAAAATATTTCCCCGATTCTAATTGGCTAAAAGGACACGCATAATTCACCATAACCAGTTACTGATGACCAAATTTAGAAGAATTTTGTGTTTAACGAGAAAATGACGTCAAAAATGCAGCATTCGTGCAGGTTAAGGTACCGTTAACCGAGAAGACATGGGGACGAGGTTGAGTTGTTTTGATAGTGGAAACAAAAAAGAATTTCACTCGTATCAAGAGTAAGATCTAGGCAAAAAAAATAGCTAAAAACATGGCAAGAACAGAAAGAAGACAACTCGAAGGGAGACATCTGCTATTTGGAGAATATTTGCGGAGCTGAACAACTCAAAACGTGCACTATGGAAGAAGGACTTAACATCGATGGATCGATGGAGGTAAGCATGTTTTAACAATATTTTTAAGCTAAGAATTATTTTGAATGAATAATAAAACAATTATTGAATTCGGCTTTCGTATCATATGAAGAATTATGGAGATCTCGGAGGGTGTTATCCGCTCGGCTTACGGGCCTCGACGGATAACACCCTCTCGATTTCCATAATTCTTCATAAGATACTCGGCTCATTCATTAATTGTTAATTATTTACCCTCGACAGTATTTATAGCACTTATATTCTAAATCAAACATATCGGTGTTATAATAGAATCCCAAGTTAGAAGTCTGTAACTGGTTGATGCTATAGTCTTGGACAAATAACTGTACGCTTCTGTGTACAGACAGAATGAGGCAACACAGTAGTGACCCTTCCGCCTTCACTTGTCAATCTTGCTTTGGTCCAATTAATGTTACTCAGCCAACGGTCCTTTCGGGAACCAACATAGAACTAGGGGAGGGAGTTCTTAACCAGATGCTCCAGGGAACCGCGTAAGTTAATTCAGGATAGGGTATTTTTTTAAAGTACCTTTGTTCAAGAAGAGTGAAGATGATGTGTCACCTTTTAGACTTCTACCATAAAACAAACTATCAGTATTCATAATGAGTAGAGCGGCTATGCAACACGCACACACGGAAGAAAAACATACTTTTATCAAATGATGCGGTATTTCAAGGCCATTAGAGACCTTTAGCATCAGGTAAACCGCAAACCACAAACCGCAAACCGCAGTTACGCGTTTGCGGTTTCGCGTTTCCGAGATTTCAAACTTTAGCCACAGGGCGCCCACACAATCTGTTTGTGTAGCCGATTGTTATTTTATAGTAAATGTACTGGATTTACCGTTTGCTTCACCTATAGCGATATATCGCTAACCATGTATATAAATCAATGATAAATAAACGTTGAATTACCTTACCTGTGGTGTATAGTCGATCTTTTGCCTCAAAAGCGGTTTTTTGAGCGATTTTGAATGAATTTGAGTTCGCCGTTGACTGTTCCATATAATAGAAGGACAAGGGAGGAATCCTTGTTTTGAAAAGGTGCCAGCGCCGGAGCAATTCTCCCCCCCCCCC